CGTAGAATCTATCACACCTGATCATCATGTGGTGTCTCAACACGACGAACTGTCACAATGGTGCATACTCAGGAAGAAAACTTATACCTTGAAATTTTAGTTAAGGTATCATCTTATAATGCTACCCTCGTACTAAGCAAAATAAGATGCATAAAGATAAACATCACATGCAATCAAAATATGTGACATGATATGGCCATCATCATCTTGTTCTTTTGATCTCCATCTTCAAAGCATCGTCATGATCTCCATCGTCACCGGCTCGACACCTTGATCTCCATCATTTCGTCATGGTCGTCTCGCCAACTATTGCTTCTACAACTATCCCTAACGCATAGTGATAAAGTAAAGCAATTACATGGCGTTTGCATTTCATACAATAAAGAGACAACCATAAGGCTCCTGCCGGTTGCTGATAACTTTTATAAAACATGATCATCTCATACAATAACGTATATCACATCATGTCTTAACCATATCACATCACAACATGCCCTGCAAAAGCAAGTTAGACGTCGTCTACTTTGTTGTTTCAAGTTTTACGTGGCTGCTATGGGCTTCTAGCCAGAACCGTTCTTACATACGCATCAAAACCAGAATGGTGATTTATTAAGTTTGTTGTTTTAACCTTCAACAAGGACCGGCCATAGTCAAATTCGATTCAACTAAAGTAGGAGAAATAGACACCCGCCAACCACCTTTCGGAAAAACTAGTTGTTTGTCTGTCGGTGGAACCGGTCTCATGAACGTGGTCATGTAAAGTTGGTCCGGGCCGCTTCATCCAACAATACCGCTGAATCAAAATAAGACATTGGTGGTAAGTAGTATGACGATCACCGCCCACAACTCTTTGTGTTCTACTCATGCATATCATCTACGCATAGACCTGGCTCATGATGCCACTGTTGGGGAACATAGCATGCAATTTCAAAAAAAATCTATGCTCAAGCAAGATCTATCTAGGAGATGTATAGAAACGAGGGGGAGAGTGTGTCTATGTACCCTCGTAGACCGTAAGCAACAACGTTTCACAATGCAGTTGATGTAGTCAAACTTTCTTCGTGATCCACCGATCAAGTACCGAACGTACGACACCTTCGAGTTCTGCACACGTTCAGCTCGGTGATGTCCCTCGCCTTCTTGATCCAGCAAGTCATCAAGCTAGTAGATGAGTTCCCTCAGCATGACGGTGTGGTGATGGTGATGGTGAGGTGATCCTCACAGGGCTTCGCCTAAGCACTACAAAAATATGACCGAGGGTGTAAACGGCGGTGGGGGGGGCGCCACACACGGCCAACAATTGATCTGGTGTACGCTAGGCGCCCCCATCCACATATATATAGGTGGGAGGAAGAGGGGAGAGGCCAAGGGGCGCCCCAAGTGGGGCTAAATCCCACTTGGGCTCCTTCCCTGGTTCGACCCCCCCTTCCTTGTATAGGCGCCAAGGGAAGGAAGGGGGAGGTGGCGCCTCCTTTTTCGTTTCTCCCTTGAGGAGGGGAAGGAAGGAGGGACTTACCCTCCCCCTTCCTTTCCCTAGGGCTGGCCGGCCTGGTGGAGGGGTGCACCAGCCCTTTGTGGGCTGGTATGTCCCTCCCTTGTCCCATTAAGCCCATATCATTGTCGGGGGTGTCCGAAACCCCTTCCGGTGACCCTATATGTACCCGGTACCCTCCAGAACACTTCTGGTGTCCGAATACCATCGTCCTATATATCAATCTTTATCTCTCAACCATTTAGAGACTCCTCTTCATGTCCAAGATCTCATCCAGGACTCCAAACAACAGTCGGTCACCAAACCACATAACTCATATAATACTATATCGTCATCGAACGTTAAGTGTGCGGACCGTACGGTTTCGAGAACTATGGAGACATGATCGAGACACCTCTTCGGTCAATAAACAATAGCGGAACCTGGATGCTCATGTTGGCTCCCACATATTCTACGAAGATCTTTGTCGGTCGAACCGTTATGACAACATACGTTATTTCCTTTGTTTATCGGTCAAACCGCACAACAACATATGTTGTTCCGTTCGTCATCGTATGTTACTTGCCCGAGATTCGATCGTCGGTATCTTCATACCTAGTTCAATCTCGTTGCCGGCAAGTCTCTTTACTTGTTCCATAATACATCATCTTGCAACTAACTCATTAGTCACTTTGGTTGCAAGGCTTCTTATGATGTGTATTACCGAGAGGGCCCAGAGATACCTCTCTGATACTCGGAGTGACAAATCCTAATCTCGATCTATGACACCCCAACAAACACCTTCATAAATGCATGTAGAGCATCTTTATAATCATCACCAGTTACGTTGTGACGTTTGATAGCACACAAGGCATTCCTCCGGTATCCGGGAGTTGCATAATCTCATAGTCGAAGGAATATGTATTTGACATGAAGAAAGCAATAGCAATAAAACTGAACGATCAATATGCTATGCTAACGGATGGGTCTTGACACACACATCATTCTCGTAATGATGTGATCATGTTCATCAAATGACAACACATGTCTATGGTTAGGAAACTTAACCATCTTTGATTAACGAGCTAGTCTAGTAGAGGCTTACTAGAGACATGGTGTTTTGTCTATGTATCCACACATGTATCAAGTTTCCGGTTAATACAATTCTAGCATGAATAATAAACATTTATAATTAAATAAGGAAATATAAAATAAAAACTTTATTATTGCCTCTAGGGCATATTTCCTTCAATAATAAGGCAGCAGTTTCCTCTCAAAAAAGAGAGAGACGAAATTAGTGCTATAGCTAGAAACCATGTTGTGGACGCAATTTATATATAGGGTTCCATTTTTGTTTCCTTTTGTAACAATAATAGTGGATGTCATTTCTTGGTGAAAATGATCATGAGTTGTCCGGGTTTGATCCCTACGGGCTGGATATCATAACTCTTCTAACCGTTCAACCGCAGGTTCGTTCACAGTTGTATTTTCAGAGACGAATCATCCCAAGGAACAATTTTTTTCCGAATGAATTGCACGATCATGGTATAATACAAGCTCATGGTACAGCGGTGTCACTGGCTCGTTATTGCGTCTGTGTAGCGTCGCTCGCACGTAACAAAATGGATGTGCAGCAGTGGCAGGAGCTGTTGATTCACCATGACACATGCATATCGTGTTGGGACAGCTCGACGTAGCACTCGACGATGATCACCGGAGACATGACCAGAGAAGAAGAAGGTGGACACATATGCTTTCTGGGCACACAAACACCCTACCGCCTTTTTAGCACGAACTCGATCAGGGCAACACAATACACATGAGGGGGCATGGTTTTATACCCACGTGCACTGACACGCTGGCCCGTGCCCTAACGCACCTGCTCAGCCACTCACCACGTCCTGCGTGCTTCGGCTCGCGTGTGCTCATCACGCACGCACGCGATCGCCGTGATCGGACCCCACGCCCGACGCTGTCAGGACACCCACGCATTGCGCCAACTAACCCACACACACACGCATCCATGGACATGCACACACGCACCCGTGCCAGCCACGGGCTGGACCTAACGTGCCCAGAGCACGCGCAACCCGAGCACGTCGTGGCTTATTTTCCTAGCAGCCACCTACTAAGCCCACGGCCTAGAGGAGTGTCGGCCCGTCGTCGTCGCTGATCTCCGCCACAAGAGCTTGCTCCGTCACATCCGCCTTTCTCGGCCTCGTGTGGTAGCACCGAAAGTGGCAGCACTGCCTGTAGTTGTAGCAGCGGCCGCGCCGCTTCCCACCGTTGCCCGAAGCCGTGCTGCTACCGCTGTCATCGTCGTCGAAGCCGCCACCTTGTTGTCGCCACCGCGCCGCCCACTGAGCCACAGTGAGCATGAGCTGCTCGCCCGTCCGTTCGCCGCCGGCCTGCGCGCCTCTGCGTCCTCTCCTCAAACACCTTGAGCCGTCCCAGTGCCTCCTCGAACGACATCGACTCCACGTCACAGAAATGCTCTATTACGGCAACGGCGACATACAAACGATCCGGGACGGAGTCCAGGAGCTTCTTCACCATCATCGGGTCGTCCAGCATCGATCCCAACCCCACGTAGTGCGCTGCCATGCTACCAATTCTGCCGGCGAAGCCGTCCGCCATCCGTAGCCGCTCGAACTCGCCGCGCAGGGTGCCCAGCCGAGCTGCTCTGACCCGAGCTGCGCCAATGAACCGCGCCTTGAGGCTGCTCCACACCTCCGCCGCCGTCTTCTTTGACGAAACCTGCAGCAGGATGTCCTCGGTAAGCGTGTCGAGCAGGTAAGCCCTCGCTGTCTTGTTCGTCTTTGCGTCGACCACCGCTGCCGCGTCCGTCAGAGCCACCGCCTCCAAAAAACCCTGCACGTCGAGATTGGCCTTGACCTTGATCACCCACACGGTGTACTCCCTCCGTTCCAAAATATAGCGCGCCCACGCTTTTCGAGGTTCAACTTTGACCATAAATTTAACCCACGAGACCGACTGCGGCGGGATCAAAAATTATATAATTAAAAACTTTTTTTGAATACGAATTCATTGGTATAATTTTTTCGCCCGCCGCAGTTGGTCTTGTTGATTAAATTAATGGTCAAAGTTGAAGCACGGAAACCGAGGACGCGCTATATTTTGGAACGGAGGGAGTATTTGACACCGGTGAGCGTCGGGCACTGCAACGACATCGTGCTCCCCGCTCCGCCTGCTTACGGTACGAGAGACATCGACGTCGGTCACCTCTCCTGCCGCATGGCTTTAATACCAAATGTTGGGACCGCTCGATGTAGCACTCCACGTCGATCACCGGAGACATGACCAGAGAGGAAGAAGGTGGACACAGATGCTTCCCGGGCGCACAAACACCCTGCCGCACGTATGGCCTTTTTCTTTTTTTACTCGAGCACGAACTCGCACACACGCACATATCCACGGTCACACACACACACGCACCCGCGCTCGCCACGTGCCGGACCCGACGCACCCAGCGCGCGCACACAGGCGCACGGCCCGAGCCCGCCGTGGCTTATTTTCCTAACATATCGGACAAGGTGAGCAGCTCCTCGAGGTAGTCGGCTCCAAGGTCCTCCAGTTCCAGCACGCAAGTTGGCGATGACGACGAAGGAGCCACCGCCGTCGCTGTCGCCGACGTGCCCGTCCTCCTCTTGTTCTTGGGGTTTCTCTTCCGGATGCAGTGCCGGCGCTTGAGCGCGAGAGCAGGCGAGTCCCCCGCGGCTGCAGCGGCACGGCCGACGCCGAGACCGAGCGCGCGCAGCGACTCCTGTACAAGCTTGACGGGGAAGTTGAGCACGGCGGCCGGGCCGCGCACGGAGAAGGCGGCCTGGTCGTAGGCGAGCGCGGCGGCGTCCGGGGTGTCGAAAGTGCCGAGCCAGACGCGGGCGCCGTTGCGGGTGGAGTCCCGGATCTCCGCTGCGTACTTGCCCCACGGCCGCTTCCTCACCCCGATGAGCGGCGAGTCCGGCGCACTACCAGCGCTCCTGCCAGGATCCGATGCCGGCCACGCGGCAGGCGCCGTCATGATCTCGCCGCGTGGGCTGCTGTTGCCGTTGCCGGCGTCCCAGGCAGAGGCGGGAGGTGTAGGGGAGGAGGGTGAGCTGCCATTGCTGCTGCTGGTGGCTTCTTCCATGAGGAACGAGAGTAGCTGGTGGTCGATCACCATGTCAGCATGAGCCTGAGTAGCGTGCTGGTGATGCGTGTGGTGGGCACCGGAGGAGAAGGAGATGGAGTAGCCGTGGCAGTAGGAGGAGTGATCATCTCCAGGTAGCTGATCCATCGGGTCGACAGGGTTTGAAGATAATGAGGCGAGCATGCACGTAAAGTGTACAATCCTTAAATAGCCAAGAAACGATCTAAGGAGGGGAGAAGAATCTTCTTAAGGTAGCTAGACGGGGCAGACAAGCTTTGACTTGCAACGATAGAGCGTACTAGTAAAAGAAACTTGCTCCATCCATCAGGTGGGCTAGCTTGCATGTTGGACCGATCTAGTACTAGCAACGAATAGGATTGGGATGCATAGATGCCAATGACGTAGGGCGGCTGGATACGACAGCGAACCAGGGCGTCATCAGTTCACCACGACCCTCTCCGGCCGTCTTCATCGGCTCAGGTGGTCAATATCTTCTTTTACTTACTACTCCCTCTCTCCCATAATATAAGACATTATGACATTTTACAGAAATGTCTTATACTGTGGGCGAAGGGAGTAAATGCGTAGGGACATCTACAAAGAGGACTCCAAAAACGGATACAATATCCATATGCAGACGCGTCGGACAAATTCGCAGATAACGATATGAGAGCCGGCAAGTCAACCATGGCCACATACATTTCAAATGGGATTTGAACAAACCGAATGATTTTCTTGCAAACCCAATGATTTTTATTCAAATCGGAACACATTCATTGTATTTTTGACATATTTCATTAAACAAAAGTATCTGAAAGTTAACTTAGCTAGTCTAAATCTTCGCCGGCGTCTGTCCTCTAAGTCCTTGTTGTTTCCATGTCCAGCATCTTTGTCGGCCGTGAGGCCCGGGAAGTGAAGTTGCGAGTCGCCGATGAAGAAGAGTAAAACATGGGCCACACATTGACCCACATGAGGCACGAGGCGCTGTCATCTCCATGTCATACTCTTCCTCGTCATAGTCCGAGGTGAGGTCCACGATGGACGTGGATGGGCCGGCCTCGTGGTCGTAGCGGCGTGGGCGATGCGTAGGTGCTGGTGTTCCCATCCGCGATAGCCGGCGTACCTGCTCGTCCTATTCCGCCGTGCGAGCGCTGCATGCGGCCTTGTAGAGAACATGCTGCTCCGTGACGAGTTCGGGTCCTGGCCATGGCCGCCACGGTCTCCTCGCTCGCAAACTCGCCGTATATTTGGCCCTCCACCAGCCGATGATGTGCGAGGAGGGTGAGGCTGTAGCGTTCCTCCTCTGCGCGAGTTTGCCATCAATCTGGCATGTGTTCGCCGCGCATGACGGCCATGGCAGCCGACCCCAAGGCCGACCAGCTCGTCTGCTCCGTCAAGAGGCTCTCGCACATCGCTCTAGAGCTGGTGCTCATGGCGGAGGTGGTGCACGGAAGAGGGGTGGGAAGCGAGAATGGCGTTGTGCGGACCGTGCCGAGTGTGGCCTTGTCTAAATAGCATATGATGACCAAGACAAGTGGAGGGCTGAGTCAATGCGGGCACCGGAGTGGTTTTCTCGGCTGGCACGCCTATTTAATGCCGGCAGTCGGACGGAAGGGCAATGGAAAAAGGTGTAGGCATGGGAGATGTTTTTGGGTGGGACTGGGGTGTCCGATGCAGATGTGGCGATGGTCCGAACGCCAGTAAAGCCCCCTGGTTAGCATTTGGTTTGCGGGAAAACGGACAACCAAACTGGTCCGTGGACATATACGAGACTACTTGGATGGTAAAGTAGTCCGAACGATTGTGTGTGGTTTGAAGGGTCTATGTTGGAGATGCTAAGAGCATCTATAGCCGCAACCTGCAAATTTGGACCCTCATACATCCACGGACGCGCCCGCAGACAGTGACCGAACAGGTCTCAAATTTGGCTATTTATAACCATAAACCCTATATAGAAAAAACTTAATACATGCAAACACATACACATCGATCATAGATGTGTAGTCCGTGTTTGGCCCACGGGGCTATTAATCAAATCAGCTCGTAATTAATATTTTTCACATATGTATTAGGCCGGCGTGTTTCATATGTTTAGTCCCCGCTTGTCGAATGAGGAGCTAGTCGACCGGCTTAAATAGCAGGTCGCCCAGAAGCGGTAAGCTTCAATCATTATTGCATCCTTTGTTAAGAAGATGAATTGTAACTATTAATCTTCTCTACTTATCACAGAGAAGATTAATATTCATGGTCTATCCCCTTCACAAACGGAGCATCGATGCTTGCAGGGCTCTTTTTGTGTCACAGTGTGTCGACTGGGCTATCAACGTATATAATTTTTTTTATAAATCTCTTTCATTGTTCTAGGGCTATCAATGTATAGGAATGAGATGAACTTAACACTTGATGAACAATCACCGGTTTATGAAATGCAATCGACTGACAATCATAAGCTTTATGAAACAAGAGAAGCTTGTTGCTATCCGCCGGCGCTTCGGGTGGCTGCAGGTTGGACCGCTATGATCTGGAGCGGGGTGCCCGGTCGCGCCCATTCGCCCTTATATCTTCCCTATATTTGGTTCTGATTGGAGGGGTGCCAGTCAGTCCCGACGTTTGTTTCAGGAGTTTAGGGACTAAGTAAGGGGTCCGATTGAGTCACTTCTTTTAACCGAGCACTGACCAAACAGACGATACGGGTGTTTAGGGAGGAAATAGTGGGTCTGTTTGTAGATGCTCTAAGAGCATCTACAGCCGGATATGTCAAATATGGCCCCTCAAACGCCCGCAGACGCGGTCGGGCGCGTCTGCGGGCGGTGACGGGGTATGCCTCAAATTTCACTAGTTGCATCCGGACATCTCATACTAGGTCCTTCAATTCATACAAAGACATGCAGATGAAATAAACCTATGTACTACGTTGATCACCTAACTACCCATTGTCGGAGATGTCGACGATCTCAGTGCCCGGCTCCGGCAGCATTGGTGCCAGCTGCAGCTCTTGCTCCTCCGACTGCTCCGCTCCGGCCTCCTCCACCTCAATCTCCGCATCGAGTTCGGCAAAGAGCGCGTCGGACGCCGTCTACTTCTGCCGGAGGAACATCCGGTTGGCCTCCACATAGACCTCATCCTGGATGGACTCCAGGATAGCCTGCTGCTCCGCCATCTCGTCGGACTGGGCGATGGCAAACTCCGGCTCCGCCTGCTCCATGTTGAAGCCCGACAGCTGCTGCTCCGGCTACTCCTCCTCCTCCACCTCCATCAGAGCAAACTCCTCCTCCTCCTCTTCCCTCCCTGCTGCTCCTCCTCCTCCTCCTCTGGCTCTGGTGAGTCCGGAGGCAGCTCGGCAGCGATGCGGGTGGCGCGAGGCTTGTCTCGCACGAATCTCCTGCTTGATCTCGTAGCGGCGCTCCGGCGTGAGCATTGCGTTGTAGATGACCTTCCTCCGGCCATAGCGGAGCACCGAAGCATGGGCAAAGCGCCGAAGCGGGAGGGGGAGGAGGTGGATGGGCTCAAACTGGTGGCGCAGAGAGGGGGGGCGGTGTGGATGGACTAGGGTTGCGGGACTCCGGCCGGGTTAAATAGGCCGATTTGCTCTCGGGCGGCGAGGCGAAACGGCACCATGCTGCGTTCACACCGTGGCAACGAAGGAGGCGTTCGTCGGGCCGCCGGGTTTCCGGGCAATTCCGCGTGGGACCCCTTTCGTCAGTCCTACGTGGCGGACGCGTCCGGACGTCTCCATATCCACTTCATATTTGGGCTGGATATGAGAGGTGTCTGTCAGCCCGGGCGTTTGAGGTCGTTTGAGACGTTTCGTGTGGGTCAAAGAAATCATAACCGGGCGGGCGACCGAACGTATGAGACGAGTTTGGGTGCCCGGCTGAAGATAGCCTAAGTCTTAAACTAGGGCAACCCAGCTGGCTGGCCGGCTCCTGAAGCTATTGCACATGAACTGACAATGGCAGGTGCATGTGCATCTATGCTGCCTGCACGCCATGTGCACATACGCATGGAGCAGCTGAAAAGGTGCTCCATGTACAGATCGATATGATCGTCCACGATGCAGGCTACCCAGCCGTGATTTGAAAACTCGCCCCGATAAGTCATTGGTGTAAGCAAGCACACACTCTCATTAGTGTTGTCACGGGACGCGAACATCGCTGAGAGCTTCATTAATAGTAGCACCTCGCTGTGAATGTTCACATACAATGAACCAGCACATAGGCTCATATAGTATACGCTTTCTATAATCTTTCTCGTACGATCCCTGGCAGGTAGCAGTCGCGGGCTCACAAAGTAATACAACTGGCTCATCTGCTTCTTAATCTAAACTCTTGGGACTCACTAAAGAATTTGCAGCGACAACATATATGGTGATACCCAGCAAAGCTTGTTTGGCTGTCTGTTTTCGATTAACGCAGAAGGCCCGAAGCCGAACTCTTTCATATGGTACTACTATCTCTTAAATACACATGGCAAAGAATCAACAGGAACTTCCATTTCCAAACAAAACAAAACAAAAGAACAGCAGGATTCCGAATGATTGTATCTCCATGCATTTGATTCCCAATTAAGGGGCCAGGCACAATGCGCTAGCTATTAATCTAGTACTATCACTTGGAACACTGGCTGGCTCGCTGTTGAAGGTTTCATAGTGTACATATGTATGATGTAATACTAGAAGGGTTTAGGTGCCTTTTGCTACGCCGCTCATGTTGTTTTGTTTTCATAAAAAAATTACTCCATCTATTTCAAGATATAATGTGTATTAGTTTTTTGAAAAGTTAAACCTCTTTACATTTTTATAGACATATATCAATATGCATAATATCAAATCGAATTTTTTAGATTCATCTGCAACAAAATTTTTGTATTTTATTTATGTAGTATTGCGGATGTCAACATTTTTGCCTATAAACGTGGTCAAAATAAACAAATTTGACTTTTCAATAAAACCTAATACACCTTATATTTTAGAACAGAGGGAGTATTTGGTTTGGTTAGTGGGGAAGATGATGGAGTGCATTTTCCTTTTTATTCATATAATGCGGTGTTTTGATGGGCTTTTCGCGGTGTGACTTTGTGTTGTCTGCTAATCGATCCATACTCATATGGGGGAAATTCTGTGTCAGTGGTTGCATGTACTATATTGGTGCTAAAGTATCAGATGTTGATATTTCTTTTTTTCT